AATTTACTATGAACTTTTCCGTTTTGATATTGAGTGAGCGTGGTTCACCAAAACACACTGAAAAAAGCAACATGTACTTCGACCAGCTGTAAAGATGAAACGAAAAAACACAACAAATGAAAGAGATATGCAATTAAAATCATCCGCAGACGAGCCAATCAACTCTTTTTGAGTATTCTTTTGTTGTTCAAATGTTTGGTACCAATTGAATGAAACCTCGGAAAGAAAAACAAAAACCCACCAACAAAATACCACTCCACATCGTTTTATTGATAGTAGCACATTGCATTTGTTAAAGTATGAGTAATTTAGTACGAAACATGTTATTGTGAACGGGCCTTGCACTTTGCTCTCTGTGTGACAGCTATGGAACTGTCAAGTGTTCTACTCTCATTCGTTGTACAATAGCCGATTGAAACACATCAACCACATTCATTTTCTCAATAAAGTTTTTCTCATTATTTTGTTAAATCATATTTGTTGCGTATAATTTAATTATATTTCATCGACAATTATTTAGATCTTCAAATCTTCTGAGCATTCTCATTTTTAGCTCGTCCAAGTTGATATATGCAATGGCATTTGTTTACAAGCAAACAATTCGCTATTTTAATTTTTCTATGTGTGGTAGTCGCTGGTTTTTGTCTTTCCATCTATTTCTTTGATTCGATCCAAAAAAGAATATCAGAGTTTTAAATGTTGATAAGCGATACACATCGTAACAAACAAAATATAAAAAGAGAACGAATGTTCCGTGGGTCGGTCTAAAGGTGTCAACGGACAAGCACCTCGTCCGTCCGTCCGTCCAGGGCTCTTGAAATTTTTTTTATCCGTCCGTCCGTCCGTTCAGAGCCGCTAGAAATTTTTTTGTCCGTCCGTCCGATAAAAAATTTCAAGAGCCCTGGACGGACGGACGGACGGGCTAAAAAGACGGACAGTCCGTCCGTTTGACACCTTTAGTCACAAAGTCAAAATAGCTGCAGCTAATTAGGAGAATCAGGAGCTAATTAGGAGTATGCGTGCGCTCCAGAGCACGCTCCAGAGTCATGTATCGGTGTGCGTGAACCGTTTACTATGTTTAACATAGCAGCAGTGAGAAAGGGGAAGTGTTGTGTACATGCGCTAGCCGCCATTCCACGATGAAATGTATCGTCACGATAGAGCCTCATCGTACTCTTTCGGTAGTCGAGAATTCTGAGCAATACAAAGTTCAATGCCATCAATATCCGGCTGTTCCTCGTTTCAAAGCATTTTCAAGTTCTTTGCACGAAATCAAAGATAGTTATTTTGCTGCTGAGCAGCTAAGCTGAATTTGGTGACTCGGGCACCTGAAGCGTTATTTTAACGCATCCACGCTGCAAAATTTTAATTTCCATATGAAATTATTTTGAACATTTTAAAGAAAATTGTTTGAAATTTTTCTAATGAAAAATCAATGTGATTGCAGGAAGTTCATCGGCGCATTTCCAAACATATTTTTTCAAATTGTCGAACGAACAATTTTTTTTTTTTATTGTCGAACGAACGAGCGAACGTTCGAAGCCATCACTAACTCCAGAGAATCAAATGAAACCTTGGGTGGAGCTGCCCTCCACCCCTGAAATGAAATGGAGGGTCAAAAGGTGAAAAAATAGCGAAAAATGACCAATGTATCCCCAAAATAGGGTCAAACCCCCCTTAACCCTCCAAACAAATTACATTTTTGGATTGTTGGGACGGTTTACTTGTGAGCTAAATTTGCCTATTTTGTTCAAGACAATAGTTTTTCGTCAGTCGAAAAGTCCGAAATTCGTTATGTGACATATGTGACATTCGTTGAAATGAATCGAGTTTGAGAAAGTGATGAATTTTTAATTTATCAAAGTGAGTTTGATATAGTATTTCATTATTATTATGATAAAATAACAGTGAAAAAATGACAGTGTACATATGTATTGAAGATTTCGAAAAAATTGGTCCTGGCGGGATCCTCATGCTCTTATATCAATACAGGAATATGCTACCCATAGCACATTTTTGTGCTACGACAGACACTTTTATTTCGACACCATCGCGGTCTGAAGTTGTGCATAATAACTGATTTTTTTTCAATTTATCCATAGATTTAAAGTTAATTTTGTTAGATATTCACTAACGCAATAAAATCAAACCGAAATACTATGCAACAAATAGAAAATAATGTGAAAAATGGTTGATCAACAGCTGATTCCTTAAGGAGGCACTATTAACATTAACTATATGATTGTACGAACATTAAGTAACATTAAGATGCTTAAGTATGTGCAATTGTGCATAGGTATAACTTCGATCAGCAAATGGGATATATTTTTAGTTATTTAAATAATTTTTTCATTTCTATTACCTTTTAAATTTGAAGAAATTGAATAAAATTAAATTGATCGCTATACGAAGTTTATTTATTCAATTTTGTATGTGTATATTATATAATTGAAGAGCTTCTTTAAGGAGGCACTTCTCCAGTATACAAACTTGACTGATGCAAATCGATTCTGATAGATTAAAAAAATTGTGTGAGATTATTTTTTACGATATTTTGATTGAATTAAAAATATTTTTCAACAATTCAAATTATTAACATAAATTTCAAATGACTAATAACAACAAAAAACTGGGGATACTTAATAGCACTAATAATCTATAGCTTGTACTTTCGCTATCTTTATAAGCTGTCAAAAAGGCTCTACGTGCCTCGCGTAATCCAACTACGCGCCCTTCGTAGTCTTATACTGCACGGCTACGTAAACTATAGTGAACTATATAGCTATCTCTTTTCATTTGAAAATTTTCCGCGCAACTTTTCTGTTTAAAATTTTCGCTTCAAACTGCCGAATTTATGTTCCTCGTGATAAATTTATCCTAGGGATAAATTTTTTTGGTCAAAATACCAAAATTTCTAGCAAAATTCTTACTCATAGAAATTTAAATTGATGTTAAACTTTATTTCTGTTCTTATTGGTACCATAAATATGAAAAATTTCCAGTCATATTAAAATATTTGAAATGTTTTTATACCGGAGAGGAAACAAGGAATAAATTGTCAATTTTTGATCAAAACACCTTCAAAATTGAAGTTCAAGCCAATATTCTCTGGTTTTTCATCACAAATTTAAATAATACGGATATTTCGAATCAATTTTTTCTCAAAAATGTTCAACATTTTGCTATCCGAGGGATAAATTTAAAACCATGTCCATACTTGGTCATGAAGTTTTTTCATTTTATTTTATTTAACACTGGCCAATCACTGGCTAAATTTGATTTTGTACAATATTATTTTATAATTTTTAGATATAGTAGTATTTCTCGTTTGGCATAAAAATTTGGTCTATAATAGTTTTGACACAAAATAACCTAACCCATACATAGAAATGAGTAGGTAGCCGAATTGTAAACGTTCCAAAAAAGCCTAAACGTGCAAAATGAGAGGCCAGTAGAAGCGTTAACATTGTAGTGACGGCCTTAATGTCTGCAAAAGTCATCAATTAATTTATCAAAGAAGTGATATATTGAAGAAAAGTTTTACGTCTAATCTAACAAGTCCCTGTTGGTAGTTAAGAATTTACAATTTATTTATTTATTTAACACCGCCAAAAGATTGGCTGAATAATTAGTTTTGTAGGAAAATGACTCCAAGAGTCATGAAAAACCTGATCTTTTGATTTTCGTACAATTTAGTGTATAACAAAAGATAGTTGATAATTTTACATTAATATTGGTTCTCGACGGGCTAAAAGAAAATTTAGTTTACGCGAATGACCAAACAGGAAAAGTCTAATGAAAGCCGATTGTCAACGGTTCAAGATAATCTAACAACGCGTTTGAGAAAAGATAGACTAACTGGTGCGTTAAACATATTAATGTCGACCTCAATGACTGCAAAAGTCATCGTTCAATTTATCAAAGAGGTGATAAATTGAAGAGAAGTTTTACGTCTAATCTAAACAAGTCCCTGTTGGTAGTTTTGAATTTACAATTTATGTCGAGACCAAAAGATATAAGCAATCTACGCCAATCATCGTAATAACACTGATATAACTGAATTAGTTTCCATTATAAACAAGTGGACGTTCTCTACATGGACTTCAGTAAAGCATTTGACAGAGTAAACCACAAGAGATTGATTCTGAAACTCAGATCGTTCAACCTGCCAGACAATCTTCTTGCTTGGATTGAATCATACCTGTCCAACAGAACACAATTCGTTAAGTATGGGAGCAGCGAGTCTAACGAATTCAACGTATCATCTGGCGTACCACAGGGTAGTCATCTCGGACCCACACTATTCCTGTTGTTCATCAACGACATAGTGGACGAAATGGACGACGTGTTCATTTCTTTGATCGCTGATGATGTAAAAATCGCCAAAATCATCCACTCGAGCACGGATGCGGAAGCGTTACAGCGAGCCATCGATAAACTGAAGGCCTGGTGCGCCGTAAACAATTTGCACCTGAACCTTGACAAATGCGCCGTCCTTACAATCACCACAAAAAGAAAGGACATCATCGACACAAATTACAAATACGGTGATTTCACCTTCAAACGCGTATTGGACCACAAAGATCTCGGCGTCATCATTGACCAATAACTTAGTTTTGTCAAACACATCGACGCAATTACATCGAAGGCGACAGCTGCCCTTGGATTCATCAGGAGATTTTGCTACGACATAGTCGATGTACAAACAATCAAAACGTTGTATTACGCATTGGCTCAGTCTCATCTCGAGTACTGTAACGTCGTATGGCTACCAACTTTTTTTTTATTATTGTCCTCAGAGCCTTTCCGAGCGGGGGTGCAGGGGGTGCGGCGCACCGGGGCGCAAGGTGAAATAGGGCGCGAGAGCGCCGAAGGCGCTCGAGCATTTTAAAGAAATATATCGAAAGAAAAAGGAGTGCGATTTGAAAAAATATAACGAAATTTTTTGTTATCGAAAGAATTATAGTTTACAAATTCACAAGAACTATGCCGATCTCAAAAGCATAAACATAATGAGCGAAGAGTCAAAATCCAAACAGAATGGTTTGATTGTAGTACAAATGGTGCAATAGTGACATTCTTGAACATTGCACACGATGATCGGCCGAACGATGAGTTTGAAACCAACAAACATGAACGTATATTCGTGTGGGCGCAAAAACACTCATACCAAAGAAAAGAGCGCTTCGAAAACATAAGCAGTAAGTAGCGCTAAAATTAGAGCATACATTTATGCCGGAATCGCAAAAGTGCTATTAGCAGAGTTGGAATCACTCACATTAGATTTGAATGATTTACGTACATTAAGAACATTGGCGTGAAGAGTATAGTGATACTTGATAAATTCCCAAGAGCATTTTTTGTTCCATGTTCAAATCATTCACTCAACCTGATGATCAATAATTCGGCCAATTCAGGACCGACCAAAAAGTTCTATGATCTGGTTCAACACATTTTTGTTTTTTTGTCTGGTTCGACTAATAGATGGGATGTGCTTAAGTACCATTTGAAATCTGTGTCGTCATTAACCCCGAAACCAATTTGCACCACACGCTGGTCAAGCCGCATCGATGCAATGAAACCATTACGACGCAATCCAGGTCAAATAATTGCGACTTTAAGGGAAATTCAAAACACGAGCTCATTTCGTCAAAATATCCGAGACGAAGCTGAATCAATTGCCGATAAAATGGACTATGAATTTTTCTGTTTTGTTTGTGTTTGGTACGACATTTTGAGCGAAACAAACATAGCATCTAAATCGTTGCAGTCTATCAGTTCGAACGTTCAAGCTGCAGTTTATTGCTTGGAAAGCCTTGCTACATTTTTGAATGCTTACAAAGACAATGCCATTGAAAATTTCATTGACGAAGCTCGTTACATTTGTGAACGCCTCGATATTGAGCATGAATTCAGAGAAAGTACTATGCGTCGTACACAAAATCGAATCGCTTCAGAAGAAGAATTTAGTGCTGAGGTCAACTCCATTAACGAAGTTGCAATAAATTCTATTGCAGAGCGATTTGAATCATTAAAGGCTCATACTGATCTGTTCTCTTTTTTGTATGATTTTGAAAAGTTCGAGGAAAAGAAACACAATGGAAGTTTGTTAATAACATGCCAAAACCTTAAACGTGCGCTTACACAGAATGGAAATTCGGATATCGATGGAAATGATTTATTTTGTGAGCTCTCTGCTGTATCCAAATTAGTCGAAAATGAAAATATAACGCATACTTTGGATATTCTAAACGCAATATTGAACCATCAAATGGAAAACTTGGTACCGAATGTAGTGATTGCCTATCGTATTTTGCTAACGACGCCCGTTTCAGTGGGAACCGGTGAACGAACCTTCTCCAAACTAAAACTCATCAAAAATTATCTGCGCAACTCAATGCACCAAAACAGACTCAACAATCTGGCCATCATCTCGATCGAGCATGAAACCGCAAATTCAATTGAATACGAAGAAATTATCCATGAATTTGCTTCAGTCAAAGCACGAAAACAAAGTTTTAAGTAATTATCTTTGATTATAAAAAGTGTTTTTATGAAATAAATGTACCTATTATTTTGGAAAGTATACACAATACAGAAATTCGTTTTTTTTTCATTTTTCTTTAAATTCCAAAAGTGGGGGCGCACGAGAAACCTTGCACCAGGGCGCAATGGGCGCTCGAAAAGGCTCTGTCAATGTACGTAAAAATCAAACCAAACTAAATTGTATAAAACAAAAGATCAGGTTTTTCATGACTCTTGGAGTCATTTTCCTGCAAATCAAATAATTCAGCCAGTTTTTGGCGGTGTAAATAAATAAATAAATAAATATGAGAGCGTGAGGCAGCACCAATTTTTTTGAAATCTTCAATACTAACATATGTTTTCACACTGTCATTTTTTCACTGTTATTTTATAATAATAAAATATATCAAACTCACTTTAATAAATTAAAAATTCATCACTTTATCAAACTCGATTCATTTCAACGAACATCAATGAAATGTCAAAATACTACGAACAATGTTGTCAAAAGTACTTAAGTAAGTGATGGGCGCGTAAATGTGGCGACGCCACTAGTAAAAAATTGCTTCACTGCGAAGGTAAGGCGGAGTAAGAGAGTATAATTTCATACTCCTACTCCCATACAAGCGGAAAATGAGTAAGTCTTGACCTACTCTCATACTCATTAGTTACTCTTTGAGTAAGAGAGTATCAGATGAAAAACCTCTAGACGAGGTTAAAATGGAGTGACGCTCCTGTGCGTGGATTCACCACTCAAAATGACTGACATCATTTTGAGTGACGCTGGGACGCTGTATTATTACTGGACACGAAGTTCAAAAGTGTTTTTCACATTCACTATTGTGAAAATTTATTTACAACTAGCTTGCTCGCCTCGCTTCGCTCGGCTTGGGCGCTAGTTTGGGTTCTCTTCCGTTCAGTTAGTTTTTTTCAATCAAGAAAGATTCTCTCTCTTTTTTCTGGTTTTACACGCATTTTTTCATATGTGAATTGGTGTTAAGTCGTGTTAACATGACCATGATGGACCGAGATGGTGTCCATGTTCATCCCCGTTCCAAAACCTTTCATATGACACCCATATTGACTATTCATGGTGTTAAGTCGTGTTAACATGACCATGAATTGGTGTTAAGTCGTGTTAAAATGACCATGATGGGCCGAGATGGTGTCCATGTTCAACTCTGTTCCAAAACCAATATTTCATTACCATCAATCCACATTAATGTACGTTGTATCGAAAAACAATTAAAAAAATTGTTTCTTCAAACTTTTGAAAATTTAATTCGAAAATCAAAACTCTAGGGGTTTCACGCAACTTAAAATTCATCTAAAATTTCAATATTTCTCTCTTTTCTCTAAAATTCTCTGGGATTCACCAAAATCCGTATTATTTCGAAATATTTCAACATTCACCTTGAAAATTATGTTCTGGAAGTGGGTTTTGGTGGATCTTCAGGATGGATCAGACTGGATTTGGCAATGCCCTGGTCCATCCTGAGGATCCACTTCCAGAACCAGGAACGGTTTTGAACAATCCTGAGGATCCACCAAAACCCACTTCCAGAATTTTTAGATTCAAAAAATTCTAAAAAATTCGAGTTTATGAACAAAAAGAAGCAATATCTATAGTTTACACATAAAATGGTTTTATTTCCAGCTATTTAGTAAAATCTTCGGTCTTCGATTTTACGTGAAACCCCTAGTCAAAACTGATATGTGAATCTGCTATTTAAGCCGCGAGAATTCTAACGACATATTCACCATTAAAACCAAGAATTAAAAAATCATGAAAATAAAAAAAAATAGGACAAACGCACACACACACACACACAATGAGTTTTATATATATAGATAAGGAAAAATATCTTGCGTCACGACTTTTGAATTTAGTCTTCAAGTCAAGCTTTAAAGCGTTTTGCCGTCCAAAAGTCGTGACGCGATATTTTTCCTTATTGTAAATAAATTTTCACAATAGTGAATGTGAAAAACACTTTTGAACTTCGTGTCCAGTAATAATACAGCGTCCTAGCGTCACTCAAAATGATATCAGTAATTTTGAGTGGTGAATCCACGCACAGGAGCGTCACTCCATTTTAACCTCGTCTAGAGGTTTTTCATCTGGTATCACTAGTTTTGTAAGGCAATTATTTTCGGGGAAAAATACATTTTCACCAGAGGTATGTCTATTTTAAGGTCTTATTATTAGGAAATTGCAATTTTCTGGGTAGCACATTTGCATCCAAATTTCACAAACTCTGAAGATTGCACTATCTATTTTCCACTACCATTGAAAAAGTCCCATTTCCCTTTAACCCTCAATCGCTCACCTGAGTCTGGCCAGACCTTTTTCGTTTTTGATCGTTAATTTAACACATTACTGCACACTTTGCAAATATTAACTTCACCGAATTATTCCATGGAAAGACAATCATCGAGAAGGTGAACTTGCTGCACAAGACTTTGGACGATGCAATCATCAAATTTGTGCCTACTTACATCGTCAAGTCGATACAAAAATTTCCATGGAAAAATAAATTCCTAATAACACTAAAAAATAGGAAAAATAAGGCATGGAAACGTTACAGACGATCAGGCTATCATCAGTTGTTTGAATGGAAATATATTTTGGCGTCTCGTGAATTCGATAAACTCAACACGGAACTCTACAACACATACGTGAACAAAATGAAATCCTCGCTCAAGCATGACGCATCGAGATTTTGGCAATATGTCAATTCAAAGAAGAGCACCGACAACAAACCAAAAATCATGCAATTTGGTGATGTGCGCACAGCAAACGAAACAGAACAAGCCAACCTGTTTGCAAACTTCTTCAGTAGCAACTACGATGACTCAACAACTCAAGGCGTTCAACAATCGCCTACCGATGAGTCACACCAAACTGAGAAATTCCAGCTCGACATCGATTTCGTGCTTGAAGAGCTGCAAGCCGTGAACACAAAGAAAGGTACG